ATCCAATTTGTTTTGTCACAACACAAATACCAGAAGAATAAAAATGGACATTCCTCAAATTTTTCGTGGACTCAGACTTTAAAACCAGGTAAAGAACTATACAATTGCACAAATGATCCAATAGCGTATTCTGTTAAAAAAAAACTGCTAATAACAGTGATTTGGTTATTAAGATATTTTATATTCTGTTTTTCAATTTTTAAAACCATTTGCGAACTTTTACTTAAAAGAGTCAAGAACTGAGAGCACTAGTTCCAACATTACTGAACATTAAAAAGAACTAGATGAAACAGGGCCGGATTAAGATTATCATTTAATCTTAAACCAAAGTATTTTTATTATGTTTTTCAATTTTATGTTATATATTATAAATTGTTGTTTTAGTATAAGAATAAGAATTAGTAGGGTAATTTAAGAATTATAAATATAATGGTTTATTGTTTATTACATAAAAAAACAATTGTTAAGAATAGTAATAAATTTGATAATGTTTTTTGTGAACAAAGTTTTGTTTTATGTAGTGAAATTTTATACTACACATACAGATAGATCCAGAACTTATAATAATTAGAACGTATTTTTGTGACACAAATGAATCTCCACCATGAGATAAAGAGTGAAAGAAGCTAAGATAAAGAGGAAAAGAGAGAGAGAGAGAGAGAGAAAGAGAGAGAGAAAAAGATAGAATGAATGATTAGAGAAAGAATAAAAGGTAAGTGTATTTTTTTTAACAAATTGAATAATAAATAACAACTGACTAGCTGGAGCCAATTAATATGATATTTCAATTTTAACCCAACATAAAGCGAATTATATATATATATATATATGAAATATTGTTAAAAAAAAAAAAATTAAATTTACATCCGTGAGTACAAAGTAGTACGTGTTGTTAACCCTTAAGTGCACACGTGGGGGTACAGAAAACAACAAAAATTTTGTTTTTCCCAGAACTTTTAAATAAACCTGGCACCGCCGCTGAAGTGCCAGGTACCTTTCAAAAACCAGTTGGAATGTTAGTACATGCGAGACGTCGGGCAGTGATGTATAATAGTTTAAATTTTCAGTAGTTTCTTGTTAGACCCCCACGTGTACACTTATGTTATTTTTGGCAGGTATATAATTTTGTGCATTTTAGTTTAGAAACAAATGTTATTATGACTTCTAAGTAACAAAAAAATGGATGAATATACGAAAAAACAGGCAAGGCTACTTCAACTTTTTGACGAGGTGCCATCATGTGAAGAATCTAGTGACCATATCAAATCTGATTCCGAGTCTGATTATTGCAACCTTGAATACTGTGAAAGTGATTCAGTGGCGTCTCTTGAAGATGAACAAGAAATGGATATCTCCGAAGATGAAGATGCACCGCTTAGTGAGGTTCAACGGCACTATTTGGGAAAAGATCAGACAACAAAATGGTGCAAAAAACAAATAGAAAGAAGAAATATTAGAACGCGTAAACAAAATATAGTTTCTGAGTTCCAAGGTCCTAAATCTGAAGCAAGAAAATGCAAAACTCCTTTAGAATGTTTTTCATTGTTCCTGGATTTGTAAATTATCACAATAGTTACAGAATGTACTAACATAAAAATAGCAAAAGAATTGGCAAAAAATGAAAAAAAAATCGATATGCATACAAAACGGACGAAATAGAACTAAAAGCTATAAGAGGCCTTCTAATTCTTGCGGTCTCTATATGATCTAATCACCAAAACAATAAAAAGTCTCTGGAATGCAAGAGAAAAAGCTGCGAAGATCTGTGGTGTAAAAGACGTTAAACCGCTAGGTACAACAGCTGTAAGCGATAGGGTTTCAAAAAGTTGATGCTCAGTCTGTCCAAGAAGTAAAGATATAAAGATAAAATATTTTTGTGAAAAGTGCCGCTCAAAGATATGCCTGAAACCCATGAAAAGTGTTTTGAGGCAGTATCTGATGAAAATTCAGAGTTGAAAGACGAATAGTGCTTAGATTGTTCATCTTTTTTGCTTCAAATATTTTTTGAGTTTTTAAACTTCAAATTTGATTTTTAATGTTTATTATAAACAAATAAAACTAGGAAACTACTAAATTGTTTTATTATATACAAAAATACAAGAAACCGCTATGGGGTGCTGTGGACACTCCACGTATGAACTAAAGTTCCAAACATTTACGTGTGCACTTAAGGGTTAATATTAATGTATTAGAGATTACCAAGAAAAAAGGACCAGCTTAAGCGTGGTTTAATTGTACTAAAAATAATCAATTACCAGACACACCGGTCAGATATTGGTTCAGAACATTTTGCAAATTAATATTTTTTACGATTCTCAAAATACTTGCTTTAAAACACGCCGCCATTTTCATGTCTTAATATAAGTAGAACTATTTCCATTCCTTTGACCCCGAAAACCTTAGATCCACATAACGCTCCAACTTCTTCATCAGCGAATAAATCAAGCCCCAGAATGAAAAGAAGTAAGAAATCACTCGCAACGCCAGCAATTATACAGGGTAAATGAAAATGGTAAAAGGCCTAAGAAATAAGTTAGATTCTTAAGGTTTATTTTAAATGATCTGAAAGCAAAGCAAATGGTATCATTTTAAGTCCTTATCCAATTAGGCAATCCAAATCAAGTGACTTTAAATAGTTGACGATTTGCTAAAACAATAAAAGGAACTATTCTGTGACAACAAGGGTTTTTGTGAGGTTATTAGTCTTAGCGTGCGTATTATTTTTTGAGTTTTGAGAGTTTTTCGGTGTGTTTAGTTAAAAAATGGCAAAAAAATATTTATTAAGAATACCTATATTCATATCAAATGAGTTTCTATTATAAAGCTTTTTATTCTAATTAATAAATTGACTTATAATATATAAATCAACGACCAACATTTCCAAAACTCATAAATTTAACATGTTTTACAGTAACAATCGTACACTAGTGATAAAGTAAGATCAACAAACTGTAATTTTTGCCAATCGTCCACCTTTTTGGAACAATCTGACAGGACGCTGGATTGCCTAATTGGATAAAACTTTAGCTGGTATCCATTCTCAAATAAAAAGAGCACTAGGAAAAGAGATGTAAACTCTGAAAAAATCTTGCACGTTGCGAATAATGTGTAGTTTGAACGAAAATCATCTAGATTGCATTTTGGTATGGTATGGAATTTTTTACACTTTTTGTTAACAATGAGAATCAATCAACTTTAAAATTACGGATTCTTCTTACGCTTAGAGTAAACATTATAATTATTCATTTATTTGTATATTTCTTCAATCATCTTTAACTAATTGCCTTAATGTTCATGGAAGCAGTGCAGTTGTCCCAGCGCAGATCCGCCGCGGCGCGGCGGCGTCGAGCAAGAATGGAGCAAAGCATCGAACAGTGAGCAGCAAGCGGAAAGCGGCAACCGTTAGTGCTTTGTTAATAATTGAATGTCAGGTGCGATTAACGAACCGCCTACTTCTCTTTCTAGTTCGAACCAGAACGGCACAGAGCGGCAAATTCGAATTTCGGCACGGCCCACTCTCGTTAATTACATTCACGGCCCTAAATGGGCCTCGTTACATTCAAAAGCCGGTGGTGGGGCTGTTTGGGGTTTATTAGGGGTGTTTAAAACATGGTTGGCGAACTAGGAACTTCATTTGATTTCCTTGATGAATTTTGATGAAATGGGGAAATTCTAAACGATTAAGTCAACTCCGCAGGTTTGATGATGCATTACTCTTCAGGAATTGGAGATTTTGAAATTTTAATTAGGACTTATCTAATTTGGAAGCAATTCTCTAAATGATGAAAGATAATACGAGTTTTATTCAATCTCTTGATAAAAACCTACAATGACATAGTTTTTATCGTTTTTATGTACGATGTTGTTTAAAAAATCAGATAATTTTTAACAGATTCTGGCGAAAGAGTTTTGCATCAACAAAGTAAAGTAAAATTAAAAAGAAAATGTCAATCTATTTAACTATTACTATAAATTTAGCAATAATGAACAGTGGGTACTTAAAACAGCATAATTTTCCACAGATTACGAGTTTTATATTTTTTACATAACCTACAATTAAATTTTATTTAAACTAGTATTAATCATTGCCCATAGAAATTACATCCTCTAGTGAGGAAGTTTAGAACTTAAAAATAATTTCCAGTTTTGCTAATTTAAGATATTATACCTATATAAGTAATATAAGTAACGTTAAACATTATATAATTTTTTATTTAAGGTGCAAAATCACAAATACTCTTGCTTAGGTTTTCTTTTGTAAAAGCGTCTTCGCTTTTTACCTGCAGAACAATTCCACAATTTATTAGTTTTTAAAAAAAACTGACCATTTTGTGAGGTACATCTAACAAAGAATTATTTATTTTAATTAATTTTTCATCTGTCAAAATAGCGATGCTAGACTCGGCTCGCTATTTGAAAGGTATCTTTGCAGTTCCCCCACTTAATAGGTACATGTAAAGTATTATACAGACCGGATGTGTACTTGCTGGCAAGGTAGTAAACATATCGATATTCGATGTTGCATCTGTAGCAGTTGACATTGCAACATCGATCAAATTTTCTTCGGCAAAACATCAAAGAATGTTGATTGTTGATTGTTTCTGAATTTGAATGGGTAATACCGCAGAAGTCTGTTGATACAATAATTATTTTCTTTTGTATAGGATAGTACTGGCATTGTTTTTGTTTTTAGTTCTAGAATACGCAGCAGGTAATAAGTAAATATTATTATGCAAGGTAAATTTTTTTATACTTTTTTTAATTAGTGTTGGTGTTTATTTAAAGTTAAAATGTGGAGCAAAAATAATGTATTAGAACTTATTGAATTCTTCACGCAGCCCTGCCTAGTGGAATACACAAAAAATATTACAAAGATAGAAATATGAAATTTGTTGAATTACAAAATATAAAGTCAAACATTTTGATTTTGAGCAGAAAGAGATTTTGAAAAATAAAAATCGATTAAAATCCAGTTTCATCGGGAAAATAAAAAGAAAATCATGATAGAAAAAAGTGGTTCTGGGGCCATATCCTCAGAAGCCGAATGGTTTGGTTATATTCCAGTAAGTTTTTTTTTATCGAGAAAAGCATTTCTATAGGAAGCCGTATCATTCTAATGATAAGTTTGTTTTAATAATTCACTGTTTATTAATTGTGCTATTTAACAATTTTGAAGTATAGGTATACCTATATAATATGTTTATAGAAAGTCATTTAGCAAAAGAATAATTACTAAGTTAAACCATATTACTTAATAAAACAGCGATAACGATTGCTTTGAATACTGTTATTTAAATAAAGATTCATGTATCTTTCCTTGAAGCTGTTTTGTCAATTTCATTTCTCCAACTGCCTCTAATAAAATCTTCGGTTTTAGCATCTTCGTAATCAAAGGTATAAGAGCGTATGGATCTAGATTTCTTCTAAGATATTTATGAAAATGAATACAAGCAAGAAAAATAGAGGTAACTTTTTCGGTTATAAAGGTATGGGTTTTCTAATACCCTAAACACTGCAACTAATAAACACATTTTCTGTTATTCGCTTAATCGATAGTTAACCCCTCTTTCAATTGATCCTGTTTCATTAAGAACCAGGAATAGGTTTCATTAAATTGTTGCTTAATGCAAATACATTATCAGCTACCAATACATTATTTTTACCTGGAATCACTACCAAAAAAAAAAAAAAAATGGAAAGAAAACCTCAAGTCAATAGAGGGGATGAAGCCTACAAGTTATTGTCAGATATAAAAATACCAATAGAAAAAAAGATGATTAGTTATGTAATTTATAGTGAAAACCTTTTCAGTAGAATTGTATTATTCTAAACAAAGTCATCACGGTATTTTTTTCTAAACATGACATAAATAATTTATTTTTTGAACTTGAGATGGATGAATTTCAGAAAATTCTTCGAGACCCAATTGAATTTAGATAAACCCCGAATTACTACTCTTATTTGTCACATTTATCATCGGCAATGTTATCTCCTACAAATACAACTATTAATAGGTATACAATCAATTACATATCTCGAACCATTTTAACTAGTCACCTCACGCAGCAAGTCGGCGGAAGTGAATTCTTAGCTGCAAAAATAAATGACAGAAGGCCCAATGACCGAATATTCTACTACGAGTGAATTTTTAGTACTAAACCCAAGAAGCGCTAATCAATAAACAAACATACCCAATGTAAATTTAGCTTAGGAATATATTTAAAAACTTCTTATTCAACTTTATATTCTAACAAATAGAAGAGCAGTTACGATTCATATCTACACCGACAGTTCTATAACAAAACAAGGCTCAAGATGTGGAATATACTTCAGATCCTTAAATCTAATTATAAAATGGGCTGTAAGTAATAGTGCCAGTGTAGTTCACACCGAGCGCACGGGAATCCTCGTAGTAGCAAATGAAGTTACCAGAAACAATATTACTGAAAGGATCATGCTCATATATACAGAGAGCAGACACCACTCATACTGTACAGACCACGAATTTACTCAGGGTTAGTACTAGAATGATACACAGCTTTGGCCGAAATATCTATAAACAATGTGGTCACCTCAAAATGGATCAAAGGTGATGCCACCCATTTGCCTAAATTTTAAAATTCTTGGCCAAAATAAAAAAAAACTGTCATTGATTTTTTTGGCAATTTTTGTCCGACATTTTGAATCTCCCTGTAGATATCAATGGTTTCTTGCTTAGGTAAGAGAAACAACCTTAGACAAAATAAACAACTGATAAAGCATTTCATCAAAACATATCATTTGTTTGGTTCCAATTATTGAAAAAGAGAAAGAAGATATTTTATGCGGATTGAAAGAAGCCAGACTGTAATTCTAGATCTCGTCTGGCAAGGCTGTTATTACACGCAACTAAAAGTCTGTCTATACCAGTAACGTGTCTTATTAAAGATAAAATCATAACTCCTTGATTTTTGTGCGAAAAAGATTATTAATTTGCAGTAAATGCTGATATTATGTAAGTTAAATATAAAAAAAATTATGAAATACTAACATATATGGTGTGCAATAAACTTTATAATGGTTTAAATTTTAAAACCTATTGGATATAGAATAAGGGTATGCAGTTCAGTGGAATGTAGGTAAAAACTTAACACTATTTATTTTTTTCAAAAATACAATATTTATTACATATAAAGATATTAAACCTAATAAAATAAAAACAAGATAAATAAAGGGAGTTAATTAAATTTAAATTAATTTAAACAGTTTTACAAATTGGTAATAATAAGAGTTTTTTTGATCAAATTCAGATTTTTATGGCTAATAAATTTATAAAAGTTAATAAATCAATAAATTTACCATATATACATGGCTAGGATTTTAAATGGAATGCTACTTATAGCGGTTCTGCCGATAAGAATTTTGTAAAAAATCCGAAAACACGTAGAACTATACAACAATAAATTAAGTCCTCCAAAAAAATTAATATGTTAGATTTTAAGGTTTTTACAGTATTTACAATTAATATATCCAAAACCCTCAGGATGTCTTCATTTTCTAAAAATATTTCTTGTATGTCTATCAGTTGGGAATCTAAAAAGCAAGCATAAGCATATTTATTTTAATACTAAAGTCCTGACTAAAGTGTTTGCATTAATAACAACTTTTTGCCAAATTAATAATGTTATAATATCAATGGAAATAAATAATAGTAAAACAAAGGTAGATTTATGCTGCGTTTGAATATCCACATCGGATGCATCTCAGATGTTATAAATCTTTGATCACGTGATGTGGATATTCAAACGCAGCAAATATATGTGCTATTACGGCAAAAATCTTTAAATCTACACCACTGAACAATGCAATACATTACCTAACCTTACTTACTTATGAAAAGATACTGCAGCACTCACATTATCCAATTTTTTGCACAAACTGTACTTGCGAACCATGTTGTTAGCTATACACTAAAACTATAAGCCGAAATATTTCCAAAAAAGTATATAAATCAACCAAAATACCCAATATGGAACAATTTATTGTATGGCAACGTTGCAAACTATCGATCGATACGTGACGTATAGTAGAATGAAACAAGGTTATTTTAAATTGCAGTGGTGTCAGGTTTATCGCTTTTAAAAGCCATGCATTTATTTGCAGGCCTATTAATGGTATTTGCCATAGTTTGACTTAGTATTTGCAAAGTTGCTATTTATCGGGCGTAAGTATGTAAAAACGATAGGTACAAAAATGATCTGCATAATAGTCTAAAAATAGGTGCTGCTGAAATATCAAGTCTGCTGAAAGTAGTTCAAATAGCTCAATGTACACTATACACATTTTATACGCTTTTTTGTTATGTTACAAGTCATTTTATTTAGAAACCTACTATTAGAAATGTTTTTGGAAATATTGTAACATTTCAGCCCACAAAGCGTCGGAGTGGGAAACACTGCACTAGGTACGAAAATAAATTGGTGGCGACGCTTGATGTATCGCAATATATCTCGAATCTATTCTAATTAATAAAACTTGTTGCTATTAGTGAGTTATAGATTAAAACCATTTTTAAATATAAAAGGGATAAACTACTCAACCTGGCAACAGCGCACCAGTCAACGCATGTCGGTTCCTTTACGAAATAGCTACGCGCTACGTTTCTTTGGAATGTATGAACGGGTTTAAAGGTAAATAAAAATGTATCTGTTGGAACACAATCTAAGGTTTCTTGGCACTACTTTAATGAGTACAAAACTGTGCAACTTTTGTCTAATTTGATCAACTTTCTATCTGTTACCGTTTATTAAATAAAAAAAACTATCCCCATATCCCTGTGAAATAGTAGGGAATCCGTATATTTATATTATGTATTAAAATCAACAAAGAAGAATCAAGTTTGTAAAATATTTAGTTGTATACAGGAAAAATCGAAAGTGCTTTAAAATTTAAGAATATAACAAAATGTAATTTAAAAATGTTTAGATTTATGGCCTTCTAGTAATTAATCAACAAATTTAAAGTTAAAACAAACAACTTAAATAATATAGAATTTGTTAGGGTCTATTTATACTCCCTTAGTATTAGTATTATGATTAAGCATTAAATTTGTTAAATCATTCAAAAAAGGTATTTATACTCGTTTTATAATTAGTATTAGTAATTCTTTTTTAAACCTAATACCTAATAAGATATAATTCTGCAGTCAACAAAATATATGGTTACTGAAGAAATGTGTAAGAGGCCGGTTGTGTTCTTTTAAGATATTTGAGTTTTAAATGTGTTTTTATTAATATTTTTACTAGTTAATTAGTTAATATTATTTAAAAATAGGTTTATGTAAGGACATTTTAACGGATTTAAGTCTCAAATTTATAACAGATAAAAAGAAGCAGAAATTTGATACAAATCAGACAGAAAAGAGGCCTTTGCTTCCTCATGGTGACATGTCATTTGTCAACTTTATAATCGGTAAACACTGCTGATACACAAAAATTGTATATAGAGCATGATTTGACCGAAATATTATCGTTTTCGAGCTTGTTGGAACAAACAAATAAACAACATAATCATATGTGTATTGTCAATTATCCTTATCCGTTGTCTATTAAAAACAAAGGCCAAATACGCCATTGATTCATTTTATAGAAAAGAAGAAATTTAATATTTAATTTAAAAGTTCAACCTGTCAATTATTAAGCATAAATATTGATGCTAATACTAATCATAAATCGAGTATAAATGTTCCCATTACATTGTGAAGGTTCAACTTAATGCTTAATCATAATACTAATGCAAATACTAATAATAAGGGAGTATAAATAGACCCTTAGATTTTTTATAACATAGGATAAATCATAAATTAAATATAAATATACTTAAATGCATCACATATAAATCAGCAATCAAAAAAAATTAAATTATGCAGAAGAATCCACCGACTCCACAGAACTGGAATCATCTGACACATTGATTCTATCACCACCTTTTCAATAATATTGTCTACCATCCCATCCAACCTCCACATTTTGTCTTCTTCCCTGATGACGTGGGTTACGGCATTTGTTCAATCTTCTTTCCGTGT